ATATGTGGTGAGTGGAGACAAAACATGACTATAGTGACGGAGGGCTTCCCCCTGTAGCCAGTTGTAAACCAACCAGTACCTAGGCAAACTTTGGAATAATCTATGAGTCATTTAACACTTGCTGCTGAGGAAGAGTAGTAGTACAGCTGTCTGGTATCATAAACACATGCTATTTACACAAATCAGCAAGGTGCTTCTCCAAATCTGGGGATGGACAGTAAAGCAAACAGTAGCACCTTTACTGCCCCTCACTTGAGCTGATAATCTCGTAATCTGATTTTTTTGAGAGAAAAAAATAATGGAGATAAAGCAAAAGTAGTAACATGGGATCATAACTCACTCAGAAAGAACAAACAATATTACTTATTATTACCATTACTCTCTATTATAATTCCTAATGTAAATAAAGCTGCTTCCTTTACTATGCAATGAACACTTGACTTTGCAAGATCATTTATAAACATCAAACCACCAATTTCTCGAAAATATTCACTTGCTTCACCTATAACAGAAAAAAAAAGAACAAAAGTTAAACTTTTGCTTTTGTTTCTCTGTAAAATGAAAACCTTCCAAGATTTTATAACTTCTCAAGCCTTACATCCTTTAGATAATTTTTTTACAGTGACAACCAGCTTCTTAACATATATTGCAAACAGAAAATTGTGTTGTTTCTAGGGAAAAATGCTTCTTACTGTTTTGTTGACAAATTGAATAAATAGTGATCAAAGCCTCTTTCTGAGATACAGGGCAGTCCATCTGGTATTTAAGGCATTCAAGGAGTAAGTTCAGATCTGTTTTCATATCTAAGAACAAACACAAAAAAACTTCATGTAAGTTTTCTTTATATTAATCTATTTAGTATTACAATAAACCTGCCCAAAAATGTAGTATATCTATGTATTTAAAGGAAAAAAAAAAGTGAGCAAAAATGGAGCTATGCCACTTCTATCCACTTCTAAATAACAAACATACTTAACCTAAAAATATTCCTCTCCATAGTTTATTTGACCATGATTTCCTTTGCTAAAGTAATAGCCCCCTTTTAATATTTCTTTCATTACTAGTAACTGTTAGTGTGATGCAAATTACTAAACATTAAATTCACAGTTGCAAGGTGCATTAAGTGTATTTAAGTGAATAATACAGAACCATGAAAATACAACTGAAAATCTACAGAGTGAATAGGGAAAGAATCCAACAAAGCAAGGCTTCCTATATGATATTTAGTTAGAGAACACTTAATCACTTACCATAGCAGCTAAAATCTTGAATCAGGTTGTTAGGTTAGCAAGTTAACACAAAGCATTTTCTGGGCACCTACATACAACCCTAGGTAAGTAAACCACTTTGAAAATCTGTTTCTTACTCTTTGGGGTATAATAAAAATTTTATAATTATTTGCAACAGTAACAGCAGATACTGTATATATATTAAAAATTTGTAAGGTTTGGGGTTTCTTAAAGAAGTTAAAATACAATAAAAATATGGGTAAATATTAGCAAAAAAGGTGACTTTGTGGTGGTGGTATTTACTATTTGAAGGTTTGTAATTAGATTTGTCCTTTAGCTATCCAATACAGAATCCACAAATTTGGCAACAAGGAAAGTGAACATTTCCCCAACAACTCACCACCCCATGACAGACCTATGACAGTCTAATAAAACTTTGTAAAATTGATGCAGATAATAAATGAAAATTACATTAGGTATCTTACCACACTGTTTTTTCTGCACCTTTTGATTTTCCATTTTTGGTTGTATCCCTTTTCTTGTTCTACAATAGCAAGGAAAAAGTGTTTTCTTTTCTGTTTACATTAGCAGTGTTTGTAAGACCATATGCAGTATAAATTAAATAATTTTTCTTAAAATATATTTCAATTTTCTGGTTTTACACTATCATCTGACACACACACAGAGTTTAATATGCTCTTGCATGGCAAAGATTTTCTTTGGAAATACAGTATTTATAGTTACACTGCATTTGTAACTACTGTGGTGTTATGTTTTGAAAGCTTAACATCTTGCAGAAATCAGATGATTCCATGCTACCGCTGTGTGGCACCAAAACCATCTTTGTCATTAAAACTATACCTAGCTCTGTGTCGTTTATTACAATAAATCTGATCCAATTTTCCTTACAATAGGTTGCCAACTCTGTCATCAGCCAACAACTAGCAGTAAGACCATCAAGTAATGTTATGTGGGGATCAAGTGTGCCTGACATCCACTATAAAACGTTCAACCTCCTACTGCTACTCAGTGAGCCACTAAACCATTACTATGTTGTTTTATCGGTATTGATTAAAACCAAAGACAATGAGCATGAACAGAGATGTTATTTCTTAAACTAAGAATTTATTTTAGTTCACCAAAGAAATTATCACATTACGTGAACCATATAAACCAGAAAAACCCACAGCATTGATTCTACATAAACCTAATGTGCCAGCATCTGAGAGTTAGCTGAGCAGCAGTCAGAATGAAATTCAGGTTTGGAAGCAGAAAGATTGTCACTTAACCACACCCCAAGTCCCAAACACAAAGAAAAGTTGATGCAAGCATCACAGTAACCTATTTCAATCTCTCAAAAATTATTTAGCTCCAGGTAGAAACTTTATATCAGTGGTAAATCCATGTTAATAATAAATTAGTTATCCTTCTGAAAGTAGAGCAAAGGCTCTAAGAAACATCAGTGTCATCTTAATGAAGACAGTCAGCCCTGCTTTCCATTTAGGGTTACTGATTGCTGCCATTCCTTTGCTGCTTCCATTAGTTCATATGCTCCACACACAACCTTACAGTAGCATTGGTGGAGCATATGTTTTGAGAGGAAAAGTTTAAAAGTTCATCTTCCTTTACCCTTTCAGAACTGATAACATATAGGCATTTCATTTTCTTGCAGATCTAACCCTGCCATAGTAGCGGAAAGCTTACAAGACTTCCTCATCTCCTTTTGCCTCTACTGATACCACTCTGTTAGCCTAAGAGAAAACAAAAACTACCTACATACTCCTTAACAAAAGAAAAGCTGTAAAAATGATCTGAGTTTGGAGCTAATTTCATTTCAGTAAAGTTTAATTAAATACACATTTACACAACTAAAGAGCCTTCAATAAAAGAAGCACAAGTTTTTTTAAACACTATAGAAAAAAATGGCTTGACCTTAACTAGATCTTTTTCTTTTGCGACATACAGAAGGTACACAAAATAATACTTACAAGCCAGCCTACATTAAAATGCAAATAGCTTAACTCTGTTGTGGCATCACAGGGCAAAGATGGAAAGATGAGTAACAGGATTTGCTGCAACAGACTTCTGGCAGATGTTGCATATAAAAGAAAACAGATTACCTCTTCCCCTCCAGTAACATCCCTTCAAACCTCAAAAAAACACTCTTTAAAAAAAAAAGTACAGATATATTAATCTGTTTGTTCAGCAGCATTAGAGCACACTGCTTGAACATGCAGAAAGACGAACACAGGAGGTTAGGGAGTTCACATGGAGGCTGATGGGGACATCCCCAGTCAGTCAAGGCCTGGACTGCTTCACTCACCCCCGCGCAGCCACACCAGGACAGAAACTGCCAGTCTGGGGGGTCTTTTTCCTTTTTAAAACCCAGTGGTCAAATCCTGAACATTGGAAGAAGTCCGGATTGTTGGTGTCCTGTTGAAATCAAAATTCACACCAGCAGCTGAGGAAGCATCCGCTAACTTTTGAGAAACACCGTCCAGCGTTAACAGACCTTTGAAGTCCTCCAGTGCTATTTTAGCATTCATCCCAAACCTTCTCCCTCTCAAAATGATTTATAGCTCGTCACCAGAGTTCGACTTTGAAGCAGAAGTCTTAACAAGTACTCCAGATCATCCCAAATATAAAAAGAACAGAGAGATTTGTAAAAAAACAAAAAAAAAAAGAGGGGGACCAAGAGTCTAAAGATAAAACGGCAAAAGCATTCTTCTGCCAGAGCTTTTGGGAGGGGTGGGGAGTACCAGCAGGATCGGAAATAGGGCTCTGTTTAGCTACCTGTTGATCCGGCAGCGGGAGCGGTTCTGGTCAGCCACGAAGGTGGCCCGGGCCTCCCCCCCCGCCGCGCCGGGCCGCCACCGCGGTACCGGGCCCTCCC